GGGGGGGGTTACAGTGAAATGGAAGAGAGGAAGAGGAGGAAGGCTGTGATACCGAGTGTCCAAAGTGCGAAGATTAGCCAATGATTCAGGGCGGTGGTTTCATATTGGTCGTCATCATCCATCCTTCATTTGAACTCATCAACGTTTGTTTTCGGCGAACCGAACGTGGAGTGACCGCCCGAGCCGAGCAGACGGGCGGGACCGGGCCGTGATTGAGCAAACAAGCGCCCAATCAATGATCCGCCCGAGCGTGTAACGCGTGCCAGTCAAAAGCGATTACATCCAAACGGCCCTCTTCCACTTCCGCTCCACTGCTCCGGGCAGCAGGCTGCAAGAAGCCAGTGGCCAGAGGATGGCCACGCGGCAATTTACCGCCCCCCCCCCCATTCCCCTGCACCCACAACGTGCCAAGTCACGTCAAGGAGACTCTATCAACCAGTGCTGTCAGAAAAGTTCCAGGACTGGTGCCACTTAACCCTTTCAGGGACAGCGGTTACGACAGAGGACGTAATCCTGCTCCAACTGAACAAAAACAAATGCCGCGGGGTATCTTTGGAGAAATGCTGGTTGATTTGGTCGACATATCCGTGCTGAGTGGATCCAATAAAAAAAAAAAATCTTTGATAAATTGGCCTGAAAGATCCAAGACTGTTTCACTCTTCACAAAAGGCCCATTTCTCTCAAATATTGTTCACAAATCTTGTCGAGATGTGTAATCGTGATCACTTCTCCTTTTCCGAGCTCATCCATCCACCTCACAGGCGTGGCAAGATGCTGATTAGACAGCATGATTATTGCACAGGTGTGCCTCAGGTCAATTTGCGAACGCCCAAGCGCAAACACAGCCGCCCACCGGTTCACACAAACACCGGAAACACACACGCACGCACAAGTGCGCGCGCTGGAGGCAGGCTGCGAGCGCGCCGGGTTTCCGTGTCGCGCGCCACATGCGAATGAGGCTAAAAGAAGTGAAACGCGGGCTTTGAGTCAAAGACAAGCTCGCGGCGTGCTGCGGGCAGCGAGCGCGCTCGGCTTGGCAAGCAACGGCGCCTTCTGTCCGCAGCCTCACTCGGCATCTAATGGCGCCTTTTCTTTTTGGAGGCTGCCTCTCAGCGCATTTGTTCAGATGTCAAGTCGCGAATTCGTCTTCCACATTTCTTGAGCGGCCATCTTCAAAATATTCACTTCGTTCAAGCTGTCTTGGGAACTACTGCATTCGCCAATACACCCAAGAGATTGTTTGCACTTTGATCTCGTCCTTCCGCATTTCTCGGCCAGTTCCAACCATTTCGGTTTTCACTTTTCAGCAAATCAATTTCTACGGGAATGACATTGAGTGTGAATGTGCGTGGAGGTGGAGGAGCTCAGAGGGGGTAAGGTAGGGCAAGGCGATTTAAAGATTTGAAAACAAATAAAATCTTAAAAAGAACTTTAAAATGTATCGGGAGCCAATGGAGGGATACCAGAATTGGAGTCGTCCCTCCCTCTTATGAGTAACAGTCAAGAGCAGCATTTTGGACCAACTGGAGACGCTTAATGGAGGATTGGCTGACTCCAAAATAAAATGCATGACAGTAATCCAGCCGAGAAGCGCTCATGAGAAAGGAAACGCTTCACTTGAGCCAGCTGGACTAAACAGCACCAACGTCAAACTATTCAGCTCCTTCAGGGCATTTTAGGAATGCTTCCCAGTTTCCAAATTCCCACATTTTCAAAATAAAACTCTCAAACTGAAAGATATTCTGACCTATCATTCCAAACAAAAATCTCACATTCGACATTTTCACATTTCATTTCATTCCACACAATTTCAGTTCAACATCAGCCGTTCAAAATTCACATGCAATTTCCACAGAAGTTACATTCTACAGTTTAATATTATTATTATTGTTATGATGATGATTATTATTAGCCTCTCTTTTCCCTGTCACAGTGAGCGAGAGTGTGGTTTTTTTTTGTTTTTTTTTAACGTTCCTTCCGAGGAAACTTCTTTTGTTTCTGTTCAGAGTTTGAGAAAAGGGGCCGCTACTCAGCGCTGATGCCTTGGAGACTGGGGAGGGTTTTTTTTTTTCTCCTTTTTTCGAAACAGTTTTATGTATTCTTTATGATGTGATATACAGCCCGGGAGAGAGAACAGTGGGTAACAACATACCCTTGCCAGTTTTCATTCCAGGCGTGATGTGACGGATGAAAATAATACAAGACGACGACGAGAGCGTCCGTCTGTCGGCACCTGAGCTTTTCTCTGAAAGCGTAGCCTCGGTCATGCTATTCCATTATTATTATTATTATTATTATTATTATTTGTTATTTACCCAATCTTGCTGCTGTAGACTGTAAATTTCCCCAATGTGGGACAAATAAAGGATATCTTATCTTATCTTATTTATATTTTTTACAAAACAGTTAATGCAGACATGATCATCGTGAAAAAAAAGAGGAACTGATACTGTATTACAATACTTGGCCGAGCAGTAGCACGACAGAGATAACGCACAAAAAAAAAAAGCAGCAGGATGAACTGGTTTGCTCGTTAAAAAAAGCAAGACAAAGTAAGACGATTGGATGGATGGATATAGCTTAGATTAAGAGAGAGAGAGAGATTTATATTCATTCAAAAAATTGTTAGCAATGAATTTTTATTTGAATTATTTGAACTGTTTTTGTGCTCATTACATGACTTTTATTTTAAATTCCTTTCCAAATTTCATTTCACATTTTTTAAGAATTGTAATTTAAAATGTGATTAGTTTTTTCTTTTTCTCATGACTTTTATTGTCTGCATCAAAAATGTAATTCCTTCCATTTTTTTTTATCAACCTATCATTGATTGGCATTATTCCTTTCATTAATTTCTACAATGAAAATCTGCCATCTTCCCCCCCATAAAAAGACACTCATATGATTCCAAATCTGGCAACACATTGAGCTCGCTTTCAATTTGTTGTCTGAACTGTATCCCCAAAAAATGCGTACCCTCATAAAGCAAGTTATCTGACGTCAAACTGTAGGCACGGGCACCGCCGGTTAGGAAGGCAAAAGAAGTGGGAACGATCTTTCACAGGCAGACCTTCTAACAAGTGATTATAGCCAACACTCGGCACTACCTCGTCTCCCGCCTTCTATTCGCCCTCGGGGAGGGTGACAAGAGAGAGGCGAGCTGGCAACGTTCGTTTGTGTGTGTGTGTGTGTGCGTGTACCCTGCCTGCTTCAGCATATTGTGGCCCTCCAACACAAAAAGATGATTAGGGGGGGATTTTCTCCGGGGCAGAACAGCATGCCTTTAAGACCCAGACAGCTGGTAAAAGATGTTCAAGAAGAAAGAGATATTATACACTTGAAGGAAATAGAATAAATACAACTCCCCCCCAAAAAAAGGAACCGTTTGCCAAGGCTATGGAAGCAGCTGGGCGACATATTCCAACGAGGAAAAACAAGGAGGTAAGTCCAGCGTCCAAACTGTTGCTCATGTTATACCTTGAGGGACCCCGTCAAGTGAATTCAGAGATTGGTTTCGAAATACATGGTACCCTTTTGAAGATAGCTGCGCATAGACTGAGAAGCATGTAGTACGTAGCTGTGAAGAGAAAGCGGTGCACTTTTTGTCAGCGCTTTTGATGGGTGTGGCGAAATGACACCCGCGACGTCTCACCCGATAGAAGAACTTGAGAGCCTTTCTTCACATAAGAGGTTATCTGATGCAATGGTGTGCATTTTAATCATCATTATGAGACGCAAGCCTGTTAGCTTGCAAGCTAACGCAATGACAGGCTAGCACCTGTCATTGCGTGGTGGAAAGTTCGGGATATATCCCAACCACCCGGGGGCTTTAGGCAGGTCTATTTTGGTGGCTCAAACATGGCATCCTGATTAAAATATTGCGCTTATGGAATATTAATTAAACAGAAAAAAAAAAAAAACTATATATTTTTTTCCCCCCCATCTCAAGTGGTGACTATTTTGCCTGCCACTCGCTCTAGACTGAATATGCTTAACGTCTCTCCGGTTTATCTTATTTCACAAACGTAATACTTGTCAGAATATGGTGTTCAGACTAATAGGGGGGAGGAGGGGAGCATAGGACATTTTACTGAAAAGAAAATGTTATAATTGACGCTATTTTAATAAAAATCAAATGTGGCCCAATGCAGCGGTTAGCAGCTAGCACAAGAAGCTATTGCAGTATTTTACTTAATTCCATCTCGTTAAATAAAACAAACAGACCAACTTGGGTGCCTGATTGCTGGTTGCAGAGGATCCACATCAAAGCCCTTGTCTTGACAAAAACTTGGCAAGACCCTCCCCAAATTTTAAAACACAACAGTGCTTAAACCGCCCATGTGAAAATTGGTGACAATGACAGCGAAATACTCAAAAGTACTTGGACGTCTTTTCTGCTTTAGATTTCATCCTGGTACGAATTAAAAGGCGGTCGAGTGAAGACGTCCTATGTGTAGGTGCCGCCCCCTTTTCAGGGGTGAAACGCACACATCGACTCCAATCAAAATAAACTCCTGCCCCCAATATTAAAACCCCGTCTCGGAGCTCATATGAAGCCCGCCAAC